GGGTCGGACGAGCGGGCTGGCGGTGCGTTCCTCGTCTTCATCCGCAAGTCGTGGCGTTCCGTGTCGTACGTTACCCACGGGGTGCGCTGTCCCCACAATGCCACCGCGGTTACCAGCTGGACGTTCGGTTCGTTTTGGGTTTATTTTCACACTTCAGGGGAAATAGAGGCAGGGTATGATCTTAATTTTTGTGGTATCTTCGTACTTCCGTACAGTCGTCCATTTCTCCACACTGTTTTCCTATTTCATGTCAGGATCCTTTAGCCTTCAGAAAGCTAAAGAGCTGTCTGCTTCTTATGCTGTAGGCAGTGAGGTAAAATGCTGTTATTCCACTGTAGATCTTGCTCTGTGGATGCCCTTAGGATCAGCAGTTCAAAAGGCCACCTTCCTAGGTGGTAGGCACCATATGGTACTTAGAAAAGTACTTGTCACTCTGTTTCTTGTGCAGATGGAGGATCTCATTCTATCGCAACCTGCTGCCATTGAGCAGTCGTAACAAGTTCTCCTCTCCCTTTTCAGGTATGGCCTCACAGCTGCAGGTGTTCTCCTCTCCGTCAGTATCCTCGAGTGCCTTCTGCAGTGCCAAGAAACTGAAAGTGGAGCTCTCTGTCTGGGATGTTTCAGGACAGAGCAGCAGTGACACATATTATACCCACAGCAAAAACCTCCCAGCAGCTCAAGGACAAGCAAGCTCCTCTCATCAGGTAGCCAACTTCAGCATCCCTGCTTACGATCAGAACCTCCTGCTCCCTGCTCCTTCAGTTGAACACGTTGCAGTTACAGCAGCTGACAGCACAGGCAGCAGTGCAACAGCGTCCTTCCAGAACAGCCAAACCCTAACACGTAGGAGCAACCTTTCTTTACTGGAACCATACCAAAAATGTGGATTAAAAAGGAAAAGTGAAGAGGTTGACAGCAACGGTAGTGTGCAGATAATTGAGGAACATCCACCTCTCATGCTGCAAAACAGACCTGCGGTGGGTGCTGCGGCCACAACCACCACGGTAACCACTAAAAGCAGCAGTTCCAGTGGTGAAGGTGATTATCAGCTGGTCCAGCATGAGATCCTGTGCTCTATGACAAACAGCTATGAGGTCTTGGAATTCCTGGGCCGGGGGACATTCGGGCAGGTAGCAAAATGCTGGAAGCGTAGCACAAAGGAGATTGTAGCCATCAAAATCCTGAAAAACCATCCTTCCTACGCTAGGCAGGGCCAGATAGAGGTGAGCATCCTCTCTCGCTTGAGCAGTGAGAATGCTGATGAATATAACTTCGTTCGCTCCTACGAGTGCTTTCAACACAAGAATCATACATGCCTTGTATTTGAGATGCTGGAACAGAACTTATATGATTTCTTAAAGCAAAATAAATTCAGTCCATTGCCCTTGAAATACATCCGGCCAATTCTGCAGCAAGTGGCTACTGCCTTGATGAAGTTGAAGAGCTTGGGTCTGATACATGCTGACCTGAAACCAGAAAACATCATGTTGGTGGACCCTGCACGCCAGCCCTACAGAGTGAAGGTGATTGACTTCGGTTCAGCCAGCCACGTGTCTAAAGCAGTGTGCTCCACTTACTTGCAGTCACGTTATTACAGGTGAGTACTGACACAATGCTTGCTTTCATATGCTGTGTGAGCAAAGTAAAGCTGCTCCTGATGGTGTGCACCTAGTTAATTCTTCTGCCATTAGGTCTAATCCCAGTTGAGAGGGGAGAAGGAAATGAGCAGTCTGTCCACTGTTCTGCATGGTTCCTGGTTCCCCCCCCCCCCCATTTTCCCCCCCCCCCATTTTTTATGTAAATAAATAGAACTTCTGCTTTGTGAGTGTGACATAACATGCAGTCCAATACCTTCCTTTTCCCTTGGATTAGTGCAGTAAGTTTTACCCTGTTGCTAGCTTGTGATGATGTGTCTAGTAGCAAACTGGGGAAGCAGTATGTGGCTAGTAAGTAGTGAATTTTTGATAGCTTGCTATGATCTGAAGCTAGGCCATTAACCATGGTCATTTAGAAGGGAGAAAAGTCAAAAGGATTCCTGTTTCTTCTTGTCCTGCTTTTTCTTCTGCTTCCGTCTTTATCTGAAGCCACTTTGTGAGCACATGACTTCCTGTATCAACCCTGGATAAGTCATGCTTTCATGAGACCTGTAGCTCTTTTAAAACCCTGATGAGCTAGATCTCTGCTTCCCCTAGAAAAATGTAGAAATGGCTTCTACCAACTCCTGTCTAAGAATTAAAAACTATGGGCAAAAATTTTAAAACTCAGAAACTGTGTAGCTAAAGTAAGCTGTGCTTTTTCTTTCAGTTTGGTTCTGTTAATAGTGTGTATTTCAATACTAGTAGAAGTAAACTTCAATAAATAGATGCAGAAAGAAATTCTGGCATCAAAGGGACATGAAAAGTCTGCTGTGTTAGGATGGCTTTCAGTGGAATGTGAGCTCACTTGACACAGAACTTAACTAGTATCTAGTCCTTCCAGCTGAGACGAGACAGAGGACTCGAGACACTCCACCCCACCCTGCTTCTCTGGCCTGTTTGATGTCTTTCCCATCCTCTGAGCTTCAGTTTAAAGCCATGGCTTATTGCAGGCTTGTTCTGTTCATTCCTCATACTCCTTGTATTCTTGCTCCCCTTTGTTTTGAGGTTTGTTTTCTTATTCTTTTTACTCCCTCTTACACTGAGTACCTGTGCTTTTTCTTTCACTGGTAACACACTTTTCATCCATTCCTCATGATCTTCACTCATTGGTTGGCACCAATTTTTCCAATGCTAAACTATGGATTGTTAATTTCTGTAACGCAGTTGTCCTCTATGTGCTATAGCTCTATTGAAATGCTTGCTGTCTAAAATGCATTACCAGTTCTGTTGTTGCTTTGGGAGAGGTGACCACTGATCAAGAATCTGCTCTATCTGACTTGCAATACATGCAAGCAAAGCAGTCTGGGGAGGCATATAGTGCTTCCCAGTTTCTGGTGTTACTAAACCCAGATTTGGCTGAGGCAAAAGCAGCAAGAGATGAGAAGTATCTGAAAGGGTCTGCTGGGAAGCCAGCTGGCTGCTGCAGTTTTGTGTGCAGCACTGAACTCCCAGCCACTTCCACCTCCCTGGTGCAGGGTGACTGGCACTGCCAGAAAGGCAAATAACCTGAGAGTAGATGGTGTTTAAGACTGTCTGCACGACTGAAGTAAAGAATGCTGTGATGTGGAAATCTAATATTTAGTGATATGTAATTACTTTAATGGTGGTGGTTACTAAAATCCATAATCTAGGAATTTATGGAGGTGGTGTACAAACCAGGATATGGTGGGAGAACTGGATTTCTTTAACCATATTCACAGTAAGTTAGTGTTCAGATGAGTTCCAAGTTGGATTTTATTTTATTTTTTCAATTTAATAAACCACTATAGACTGTTCGGTTGTCTGGCAGCTATAAAGAATCATCAGCATCTTCCCTGTTCACTTTCTAGTTTTTAATACCTGTTGCTGGCATTTATGTAACCTCTGTCTCCTGTAGCAACCTCTAAAGCAGACAAACTCAAGTACTGTAAGGTGAGTTTTCTGATATATGCACCCTGAAGGAAAAAACCTTCCTTTACTAATTATGCCCAGTGCTGCTGGAGGTCATTTTGTCCAACAGCCCTGCTCACTCCAGGTTCCTACTGTTGGCAGTTGGGCAGCCTGCCTTGGTTTCTATGTACAGCTCCAGCAGCATCACCCAGCTGGGATGTAGCATGACTTAAAGCATGAGCACAAGTGCCCACGAAGAATTTTGTGGCTCCAAAGCCAGGCATGGACTTTTGACGGTCGTGTTTTAAGCAGCCATTTGTTTCTGTGGCAGTCCTGAGATCTATTAGCAGTAATTCCTGACCTGAGAGTATGTGCTTACTACATCAGGTGAGAGGGGTATGGATGCTTTTGTTCTCCCTGGGGAGGATAAACACATCCCTACCTCCTGATTCCTGAAGGTCAGTCTAGAGGCACCTGGGAAATTGAAGCTGCTAAGCTGAAGGACTGAACAATGTGGGCCATGAGAAGGTGGCACTGAGTGCTGAGGGAGTGCAGGGTGCACCAGTATCCCTTCCTTACCTCTCCTTTGGGCTACATGACCTACTTCTGTCCCAGTCATGTTGCCCTGGGAAGCAGCAGTGCATGCTGCCAAATCTAACTCTGCTTGCTAGCCCAGCTGTGAGTGATGATCATGGATTACTAGTTGCAGTTGTACAAGCTTCATATTACTGTCATCCTTTACAAGGTGGAGGGCTGAAGACCCAGGTGTAAAGATGGTGTGTTTTGAAATGTTTAAGTCTCAGATTTTTCCACTACTGCTGTGAATTCACTCTCTCTTCTGAGACTGCCTGAGCACATTTGCCAGCTTTGGAAGTCAGGAGTTTGGCAAGCGTGTATGCAAAGAATGAATGTTGTTCATTTCTATTTCAGAGAGCTTAAGATAGTAAAATCACTTTAATCTCTGACAGACCAGCTATGAAAGTGACCTCTGCCAGTTGTCCTGTTCAGCCCACATCTCATAAAGCCACTAATTACAGTGGTGTAAAAGGAGATGAGAGAGATTCTGATTTATCAGCCCTGTCCTGCAATCAGAAGGAAATCAGGTGGCTCTTGAGAACTTAATTTATTTAGTTTCAGGGAATAAAATGCATGGAGTTCAGCTCGCTATCATTTTGGTATTGAGGTTCCAGAATACTGAAGTTCCAGCATGTAGTTAAAGACTAACAAATGTCACATCCAGTGTTTGTTGCCACTAATCTCTTTTTCCATTGGCATTTTTGGTGGGATTCTTTTAATGGACTTGAGAAGGATTAGCATGCTCTGCTTGTTCACAAACCACTTACATCTTAGTTCGTTTGCCAGTCCAAACCGAGAAAGCTTGCACATGCAGCATTCCTTATGTGGCAGGTTTGGGTCCTATCTGGACTGGAAATTCCTACATAAGTAGGATAAGCAAGAGGATCAATGCAGTTTGATGATGGTTAATAGACTAGTGTGTGAATGACAGTATTGTACTTGCCCTGCTTATGAAGAATAAAGTACTACAGAAATGAATTCCTCTTGTTTGCATGCATTAGCCTGTAGACAGTTGGATCTATTCTTTAAAATATAAATATTTAGCAGGACATTCAGCATTCAAATATCAAATAATTACAATATTAGCACAATCATTTTATATTTTCATGTAAGTGAAACCATTGCAAAGTTGGCTATTGTCAGGGATAGACAAGGTGGAAACAGGTCAATGTCAAGGAGAGTGAGTGTCAGGATGTCTTCACTTAAATTATCTATTCTGATTCCTAAAAGTATATCATGGCTCTGTTTTGGGGGGCTCAGGCATAACAGAACCTCCTTTCTTTAAAGCTGAATAATAGAGAAGAGCTGTGAGCTCACTGCGGCAAACAGCTGGTTCATCGATCTTTTTTTGATAGATCTTGTGCTTTCTCAGGGGCAACTGGGGTGAGCGTGTTTGCTTTGGAGACTGGCTAATGGTAATTGTGTAGTCTCCTAAAACAAAAGCTGTATCTGTGTCACCACGACACAAAGGGTGATTAATTGGAGAGTCACTTCTTGCCATGTACAAACAGAGGTACGTTCAGGTTGAACAGTTGAGGAAGGCGAGTGTAGGATCTGCTGACAGCTGTACGTTAAGCAAGCCCTGTTCTTTAGAATTCTATAGAAAGATCAGAACTCATTGCAGAGCTTTTTTTAACAGAAATACCCACACTGCACACAAGAAATGCCACACAAGCTGTGGGGCATGCTCCCCGAGTCAAGACCAGGAAATAGCCTGGAATTCAGGACTTGTCTGTCTTCCTTTGCACTTGCATTAGTTACGCATGAAGGAGATCCAGGTTTTCGTGTTTCCTGTACTTTCCAGAGTAAATTCCCACACCAGCTCACACGGGGTTTTTTGCAGCAGTTGGGTTTTATGCTGTATGCAAATGTATGACCAGAATTTAGCCCGACAGAATGGCATTGGTTTGTTTCAGAACTGTGTGTAGGTGAAGAGTTGTACTGAAACATCCTCTTGTATTATGAGTCAGTTCCAGACAAAAATCTCCCTGAAATTCCAACCTGTTGCAGAAGCAAACCCTGCTTAGAGTTTAATTTTTTCCATCACCTTCTCCTAAAGGCTAGGCCAGGCAGGTAAATTTGCATTAGGTGTGGTTCAGTGCACAGAAACCTGTAATACAACCTTGCAAAGCAGTCACAACCTCCAGCTGCATTCTCTCCGTCCATTTTAAACTCGAAACTCCAAACAAACCCTGTATGAAAACCTGCTGATAGAGACAGAGCAGCTTTCTGAAGAGCTCCTTTCTCTTGCTTTGCAGATGCTGTTCCTTTCCAGGTGAAAACAGGCAGCCTCCTGCAGCTGGTTACCTGGGATCTGGAGACCTTCTCCTGAGAAAAGTCTGAGCATTGTTTTGCCAGAACTTCTCTTGTCAATTCTGTTAGGACAGGTTGTGTGTTGTAACTTCATACCACAGTTCCATAAAGGCCACCTAGGAGTTGGAGGGCACCATGGCAATAAAGCGAATCCAGCTGTGCCACTAAGTGCTAAAAATATTGGGATCTGTTAGGCCACTGGAGGAAACATCTTCTGCTTTAAAGTGAAGTCACTTGGTTTCACACAGATTTACTTGTGCTTTGGAGGAGAAAAGGAGTGGTGTTATCCAGAGAAAAGAACTCCAGGCTTTCAGACTCAAAGATTTTATTTTCCCTTTCTTTTCAACAGAGCTCCTGAGATCATACTGGGTTTACCATTCTGTGAAGCTATTGACATGTGGTCGCTGGGCTGTGTGATAGCTGAGCTGTTTCTAGGCTGGCCTCTGTATCCAGGAGCATCTGAATATGATCAGGTGAGAGCACGTGACAGATGTGGGAATGTTCAGATGAAACTGCAGTGATCTGTGTTTGGACCCTCTGAATCCAATGTATCCTATGTCAAATTTCATCTAGTACAAATCACTGTTGTCAGTCATCTTAAGTTCATTTTCCCTCTGTGGTATTCCCATTGTCTGTTTCTGTCGTACAGAAAAGCAAAGAGTTCCCTGTGGTTTGACTTGAGTTGCATGTCATTTTCCAATATATAGAGTGAGTTTATACTTAACCCCCTGGCTTCCAAACCCAAAAGCTGTTGAAATACCTTCCAGTCCAAACAGAAGTGAGGTGTGTGTACTCTGGCTTGAAACGCCCTCTGTAATTTCACCATGAGGGCAGTTTTTCCATGTGGAGACAGAGCAAGCCAATCATTCCTGTTCTGTTAATACCTACAGCAGCCCTTACTTTTAATGCTAAGTGTGAGCTCCAAGCTGTCTCTGAAATAAAAGGGCAAGAGTCTGAAAAGGCATCTTTAACTAATTAGCTCTTTCCATGGATACTTAGCATTATTACCTGGGCTAGTCAGTTGCCTTGAAAAGGACAAAAAAGTCCATGTGACAAGTTTTTGGAGGGTAGCTTTTCCACTTTTTATGGTGGTATCTTGTTACAGTGCTTGGTATAGTTGTGATAAAATACCCAAACACTTACTAAGGTTGAAAACTTACTTGTGTTATATCTTCCCAGCACCTCAAATTTCCAAAGGAAACACAGTGGTACCTTAATAAGCAGAAAGAGTTAGAAAAAAACTGAGGTAGGGCATGGTGGTTTCCTTGCACACGGAGTTTTGTGTAATTCTGAGAAGCTTATCTAGTCATGGAGGTGGGTGGGGAGGAGGTGCTTTTTTCCATTGCTTAATAGACAGGATTTTGCAGTCCTTTGAGGCAGTGTGAGGTGTGACTTCGTGTCGTTGCTTTTGATACTTGAATTGCCCTTGAAAACTAGGATGACTTGCTTTCATGTTTTCTGAGATGCTGCAGCAGCAAGTGAAAGTTCAGGCAGAACTTGTGCAAGGACCCCTCCAGGAATGAGCTCATGGGTTGGGATGGGATTCACAATTATTTTTTAAACACACTTTGGCTGTACAGTGAGAGTTATGTGTTACAAAAATAGCAGACTTCTTAGCTGAACTACTGTGTAGGTATGAAAGATACTCGCCTGTAGACACTTCAGATCTACACTGGCATAAATTGAAAGTGAGTCAATAAATTCATATGGATCATAAGTCATAACAGGGAGTTAAATGCCCTGCAGTCTTCAGCTGGTTTTGGTGCAGTGGAATAGCAGGAGATTTGCAAAGAAGAAATGAGACATGCTAAAGGACCTATAACTGATAATTATCAGGGGGTTTTCCCTTAGACTTTTAAATAGACTTTTTTGAATGGAGAGTCATGACAAAGGTGATGTTTGGGGAGAAATGTGACATCTTGGAAAGCAAATAACATTAGAAATTGGGCAACATTTGGAGTATTTTAAAAAGCTTATTAGTAAGCTTTTTCATAATTGCTATTTTCTTTCCTTTTGAGCATACCTTTTTCTTTGTTAACTCATTACTGGTGTCTTATTGATACTGTCACAAATACTCAGGTGCATTTTCCAAAATTCTGAGGCATTTTTTTGTTACGTGTAAAATATACTAGATGTTTTTGAGGATAGAAGAATCTACACTAAAGATATGGTCTGTCTTGGACAGTGAGAGCCTTACTCTGACATTATTCTGGAGCCGTGTGCCTAGGCTTTATGTAGCCAGTCACAGCAATGTTGCTTGGATACTTATGCCTTTAATTATATATGCATACATGATAACTTCTGTGGTATTTTTTCTCTCAAAATCTGTACTTCTTACATGGCTGATGTAAAAGCCTATTGGTGTTACTTTCTCCAGGTCTCAAAAGCTCACATATACTTGGGCAGAAAATAAGAAAGGTGTATTCAAAACCTAAAATGTCTTCAGATAATATGACTGAAAAAGTTAAGTGTCCTTATAAAGACTTGAGATAGTCCCTTTAATTTTGCAGTTTCGGTTATCTGGGTATTCTTTATTTACAGGTAATTTCCCATTTGCTGTGAACAAATTAAGCTTACAATTGCTCTATTGGGTATGAATTCTTCATATGGGGGTCCTCATTCTTTCAATTTTCTTTCCTAGATCCGTTATATTTCACAAACTCAAGGCTTGCCAGCGGAGTATCTTCTCAGTGCGGGAACGAAAACGAGCAGGTTTTTTAACAGAGATCCAAATTTGGGATACCCACTGTGGAGGCTAAAGGTTTGTCTGTTTTTTCTGATTCTATTCTGTTCATTGAGGACTTGATTTCAATTCACACCAACATTTAGTGTGCCATGAAAACATTGTGAGTGGAGATTGGATTTGAAATGCTGTTCAGATGTAGCTGGTCTGTGTGCTTCATTTTAGAAACTACAGACCTGGTACTCGTCTAACAATAGCAGCTGTGCATGATAGTACCAGCAAAGAGTGGGTGTTAAAGTAATTGAGATAATGGTTACTTATTATGGCCTGCTCATTCTTGGTGAAGTATGTCATCTTGTTGTCATCTCCTGACAATACAAAGAGTAAAATACAGAGTATTTCACGATGGTCTTTGTTAGTTTAACAGAAATCTATTTGTGTATTGGCAGACAACAGGAAAAAAATCAGATGTATGCTTGATTTGCCTTTAAAGCTGAGCAGCAAAAGGAAGAGGGTTTTAAATACTTATAGCCTCTTTGTAAATGAGAAATCTTCAGTTCTTCTGGCTAATGCACTGTCAGCTTTGCAATGAATGATCTTTCCAGATGAGGAAATGAGAACCCAGGGCTGTTTTGGTTTGGCCTATGGCATGTCATTTATCTTAAAGCAGGCAAAAGATCTCCTGGCTCTGCTCTTTACTTGCAGTTTTTTCTTCATCGATATGCAAAATTTCAGTTTATATTAACAAATGCTTTCTTTTATAGACCCCGGAAGAACACGAGTTGGAGACAGCAATAAAATCAAAAGAAGCTCGGAAATATATATTCAACTGTTTGGATGATATGGCGCAGGTGTGTGGAGATCTTGTAACACACAGATACTGTCATATCAATGACATACATTATTGGGATCTAAAAATGAGGCTCCTGTGCTGGAGCTCTCCTTTTCCACCTGCTGTTGAGAACACTGATGCAGGTTTGCCATGGGGCCAGTTTGCATCAGAAATCACTGTATTTAAAGACTTGAAACGTTAACTGTGAAGCTCTTAGAAATTTCTTGTTCTTCCTTAGGCCTGATCTGGTAGATGTAACAAGTGTGTGTAGCCTGTTACCACTAGGAGCAGTTGAGCAGTAGGAAAGCTAAGCCCCTCCAGATGCGTTTATAGGATTAGGCCTCTTACTGGACTTTGGAAATGCTGGCAGGAACTACAACTCAGTCTGTTTTTTAATTTTATTTTTGTAGGTAAAATGAATATCTGAGGGTTTTTTTAATATCATGAGGCCTTGAATCTTAAATATGTTGGTCTCAATTTTCTATTACTTTTGTAGCAATTACATCTGTGCAGAGAATGCAGTATCTTGTCATTCTTATTTGCTAGACCCTTACAACCCCACACATAAGAAGAGGGCATATTGCTAGGCAGGGGAGAATGAATCCTGGTTGATATCTATTGAACAGACCAACTTCACATTGAGACAAGAATTCCCTGAGTAAGTTTGACTCCTCTTATAGGATGAGCAAGAGAAAGGTGGTTTGTTAGAGCTGTACTACCTAAAACTGCTATGCTGGAGAAGAGATAGAAATGCTTGATAAATATTTGTGTGATGTGAAGTTACTGAATTGTTGGGTAGCAATTAATTTGATGTTTGTGTGAACTACTCTCATTTTATTTTCAAGGTGAATATGTCTACAGACTTAGAAGGAACTGACATGTTGGCAGAGAAGGCTGACCGAAGGGAATATATTGATTTGTTGAAGAAAATGTTGACAATTGATGCAGATAAGAGAATTACTCCACTGAAGACTTTGAACCATAATTTTGTTACAATGGCACATCTACTGGATTTCCCACACAGCAATCAGTAAGTTTCCTTAGATTTCTTGGTTTGTTTCAGGAGGACTGATTGGAAACACAGAGCACTTTTCTGCTTTCTGTCAGTGCTGTTTTTTGTAGTTTCTGGCTGGTGTGAAAAAAGCACTGGCATGGGTAAGGAGTGGAATGTTGGTGAGATTCCTTTTCATGTTTGAGGACATTATTTGCTGGCTTAAAAAAAAAACCCAGAAACTAAACCTAAAGGCATGTACATAAAGTTGGGAATCTGTCATGTCTCTCATGTACTGTTTTTATATATCTAATATTGTCCTGCTGTCATTCTCTTTCAGTGTAAAATCGTGCTTTCAGAATATGGAGATCTGCAAGAGAAGAGTTAATATGTATGATACAGTGAATCAGATTAAGAGCCCATTCACAACTCATGTTGCTCCTAATACAAGCACAAATCTCACAATGAGCTTTAACAACCAGCTTAATACAGTACACAACCAGGTATGGATCTTCTAGCTATTTTATACTAATCAAAGAAATGGAATAGTTGAATTCCATGCTTTCAGGCCAAGTTCTGCAAAATACTATATTTGAATTGCTGCCTAGAATTTGTAGTCTTGAATTTTAGTATTCCAAACCTCAGGCCAAGGCAGTCTCTTTACTTAATCATATTTGCCTGTCAGTTCAGCAACGTAAGTAAAGTTGGTGCAGTTCATGTTTTTTCACCTATGTTGTCTTGTGCCTTTTGCCTGAAACCTTTTCCTGGTGCTTGCTTCATGATACGATAGTGATGGTTCCTGTTGTTTGTTTTATAACAAGTAGAAATGATAAATCCAATTTTTTGTTTTCCTTTTTTTATTCCTAGGCCAGTGTATTGGCTTCCAACTCTA